AGAGAATTCGAACTGGTCTATGGCCCTATTAACTCAGAGCCTGGGCGAAAATAATCAAGAGTTAATATCTATCCCGTTGAAAGACATCCTGCTAGCCCAGAGAGACAATCAGAACATTGGCCCAATAATTACCTGCTTGCGGGCCAGTAGGAGACCACTAGGCCAACAGCTAAAAACCCTAACTGCCAGGCGAGACGCTTGATGTGTGAGTGGGAGAGATTGATCTTGGGTAGTGATGGAGTTTTAAGACATCAAACAGGAGCCCGATTACAGCTTGTCCTCCCAAAGAAGTATAAAAGTATGGTGCTGACAGCATTACATGACGAGATGGGACATCAGGGAGTGGAGAGAACATCATTAGTGAGCGAAAGATTCTTTTGGCCACAGATCAATAAAGAGATCGATTATGAGTACATTTTGGTCATAATAGACCATTTCACCCGATTTGCACAAGCTTATGCAACATAATCAAAATCAGGCAAGACTGTGGCTGATAAAATATTTAATGATTATGCCCTGAAGTTTGAGTTTCCCCAAAGAATCCACAATGACCAAGGGGGTGAATATGAAAATCAGTTGTTCACCCAGTTGTTAGAAAATTGTGGCATTAGAGGATCAAGGACAACCCCATACCATCCAGAAGGAAATGGCCAAGTGGAACGTTTCAGTCGGACACTTCTGTAAATGTTGAAAACATTGACTGAACAAGAAAAGGCTAATTGGAAGGAGTCCCTGAATAAGCTTGTGCATGCATATAACTACACGAGAAGTGATGTGACTGGATTCTCACCCTTCTGTCTTTTGTTTGGGAGAACTCCAACACTCCCATTGACATTCTTTTCAGTTTAACGCTGGCATCAGGAACACCAAATCACCAACAGTATATGGACAAATGGAAAAGAGGAATGTAGGAGACTTATGAAATTGCCCAGAAAAATGCAGCAAAGTCTGCAGAAAGAGGGAAGAAAAACTATGACAAAAACAATTGCTGTTCTATATTAGAGGAGGGTGATCATGTTTTGGTCTGAAATTTGACCCCTAGGGGTGGAACTGGAAAACTTCGTAATTACTGGGAAAAGGACATCTATAAAGTTGTTTGCCATGTCAATAATGACCTCCCAGTTTATGAAGTGGTGACAGAACAAGGGAAGGGGAGGAATAGTAGAATACTGTATCGCGGATGTAGCTACCTACCACTAGAAGCCCCCCTCAAAGTTATCCACCCAAAGAGAAGGAGCAAAGGAAACACGGAAGAAAAGAGACATGCAACAGCACAGTCTGAAAGTGATAGTGATGACTGGTACTGCTACTCACCAGGCCAGACCCAGCAAATTATGCAGCCACAAACTAGTAAGCCTACCGTTCCTGCTATTGGAGTCCTGAATGACTCTGCAGGAGTAGAACTGAAGGAATCTCAGGTTAAGCTGGCATGAGAGCTGCACACTGATGAGGTCCACATTGAACCCAGTTCACTGGACAGGAGAGAAATTCTCCCAGAGGAACAGAAAGAAGCAGAAGAGCAAATAGCTGTGTTGAACCATGGGAGACGGGATGGGGAATACAACCCACCATGGCCAAAGAGAATGAGACGGCTCCAAAATTCCTCACAAATCACAAGTTAGGTAATCACACTTGTAACAACATGAGGTTAGTGGGGCAACAAAAAGCAATTGGATTTTGGACATTGTGCCACCCACAGTCTGTGTGGTGTTAATAGCATTCATGCCATTGCACAACAGTGACTGTTGGTGGAATAGTATAATAGTATAATAGTAGGGGGAGTGGTGGTGCAGAGGTTAGAGAAGGTAGGCCTGTGATCAGAAAATTGCCGGTTCAAGCCCCGATACCGACAACATCAAAACTGTGGGTGGGATAGGTGAAGCACCCACACCTGCTCCAACCCTCATTCGCCCCACTCTGGGTCCATGAGCAAGGCCCTTAACCACCATCTGCTCCCTAAACAGGTCTCTCTTGAAAATGAGTTCTCGTGGCTCAATGAGACTACATGTATAAATAAAGGGTAAATGAAAAAAAAAAAAAGTATGGATTTATTAATTTATCCAGAAAAGACTGTTGCTGAATAAGTGATTTGATTAGTAAACATACTGTTTGGATTTATGAGTTAAACATGAAGTTAAGTGTGAATAATTTATCACAGCAGCAAGTGGGAAAAAAGTCATTAGGGTGATGTGTATGATCTAAAATGTTATGGCGTTCTACTTTGTATATAATGTCCAACTGTTCCTGTAGATCAAGGAATAGGGTGTCGGGACGACACTTGTTGTGATGGGGTGTGTGTTATGGGACAAATGAAAATAGCCATTTGTTAAGATGATTTTACACTAAAGCAGTTAAATACGTGAAAAAAAAAACGATACTACATGTATACATAGGGACAACTCTAAGATTTATTGTGAAAAGATTTAGCGATTATGTCACTTCCTGGGTGGGGAAACTATAAAGGGGATGGGCGGCTGTGGCTGAGTGGTTAGAGCAGTCATCCTCCAATGCGAGAGTTGGGGGTTCAAATCCAACAGCAGTCACATGCCGAAGTGTCCCTGGGCAAGGCACTGAATCCCTCATAGCCTCCGATGTGAGTCCCATCGGTGATTGAATGTGATAAAGCTCTGATTAGTCTCTTTAGAATGATTTGTTCAATTAGCTTTGTAAAGATCTAGTAGAGTGCTGTATGAATGGGTAAATGAGGACACAGATTGTAGTGTAAAGCACTTTGAGTATCTTGAAATAAGATAGAAATGCGCTATATAAGTACAGTCCATTCCATTTACTCAATGGTAAAATAAAGCAACTTGGGAGCTGAGTGGATGTCTGGCTCTTCTGTCCCCTTTCAGGGGTGTAACATCAGGATATATTAGAAACAGAAAGGAAACTTTATTTGACCAAGTCAGCAACTTCTATTAGCATATTCTACAATGCTCTTAATTATCAAAATACAGGTATCTGCATGACAAAGATTATGTTTTAGTTAAAATGTGGGAACCCTTTTTGTCATGCATTGGACTGAATATTTTCACAATCCTTACAAAAGACTTTGTTTGGTAATATCAGTGAATATGGTGTTGTACTAATCAATACTGATACTAAGTGCTCTTCTATTCATGTATGTGTAACTAACGCCTGATTGGGACTCCTGAGAATGATTATGCTTATGGGCCAAATGTTTAAGTTTTGCTTTATTTATTTGTTTCTTTTCTTTTGTCTGTGTAAAATTGTGTAAAATTGTTGAAAATTTTAATAAATATATATAAAAAAAAAAAACCAGAATGCAGGAAACGGCTTCTACTTTATTCAAAATTTCTGGGGGAGGACCTCTAGAACCCCCCACCCACCCCCGATTTGGATCACTTTCTCTGACCACGGTAACAACTCTATTCTGCCTTGCCTCGACTACATCTCTCGCCTTGCCCTCAGGATTTGAATTAGAAACTCTGACCATTTGTGTATGACCTCGGACCAATCTATTAGACCTTGATTCTGGACTTACCCCAACTCATCAAGCTGTACATTTCAGCTGCTTTGGTTCCTCTTTACCACCACTGGTGACATCATCGGATCCTCCTGTCTCACGGATTCAACTCCCTGCCTGACTGTGAAAGTTAGTGACTGCCTCAATTATTCTAAGAGCCTTCACAATCAAAACCTCATTATTAATATTCATGTCTCTGCAGATCCTAGTGGCCCATGGATCCAGACCTCCACCAGAGATCCAGCTTTAATAATAAAATTCTTAAACTATTCCTGTTTTCTGGTGCAATTACTGAATCGTAAACCAGGTTCATGTCACTATTGAATTCTGGCATCATTTGGTTTACAAATTAAGTACTGGAAAAAAGATATCTTTGCTTTAAAAAGCCTTGGAGTCTTCTAAAAAAATTTCTCCACAAGAGAATGGTAGTCATAATTCAATTCCATCCAACATCTTTATCTGCTTCTTCCTTTTTGGGTCATGGGGGTCACTGGTGCCCATGTCCAGCTATCAATGCGAGAGGCGGGGGACACCCTGGACAGGTTGCAAGTCCATCACAGGGACACATACAGACAAAAGAGACAAACCATCCACTCTCTCACCTAGGGACAATTTAGAGTTACCAATCAGTCTAACATGCATGTTTTTGGTCTGTGGGAGGAAACCGGAGCACCCGGAGAAAATCCACACATGCACGGAGAGAACATGCAAACTCCACCCAGAAAAGTTCCGGCCCAAAATTTGAACCGGAGCGATCTGCTTGCTGACAGGCAGCAGCTCTACCAACTACGCCCCCATGCTGCCCATAATTCAATTCAGTTTATTTCTGTAGTTCCAAGTCACGACAGAAGTCATCTCAGAGCACCGTACAAAAACATTCACATATACCATAAAAGCCAATTAGGAAAAGTAATCTATCCAAGAAAGCCAGCAGATGTAAGGTAAGGCTAGAAAAAAAAAATCACATTTAAACCTGAATTATTTTAAAAATAATGCTTTAATTGAGGAAAAAGTCATACATTAAAGTGTTAGAAAAGTAGGCCAGAAAGTAAAAATAAAAAAAACAAGAATCCATCCATTATCTTTACCTGCTCCTCCTGTCCATGTCATGGACAAACAGTTTGGAAGATGCTGTGAAAGAAGTTGAGGGGACACCTAGACATGTCTCCAGTTCATCACAGACACACTTGGAGAAAACAACCATTCACACTCTCACACAGAGGAACAATTTAGAGTTACTAATGAACCTAACATGTTACCTTCTGTAGGAGGGAACATGTAAACTCCACACAGAAAGGCTGGGAGGCAAACCCGCAGCTTTCTCACCCTGTGGCGACAGCACTAACTATTGCTCCACTGTGCCACCCATAATAACAAATGTGCTATGAATTACAAGGATAAGCCATAATGTTTTTTATATTAATTACCTAAATTACTATATATATTTTTTCATATAACAATGAGCTCTTTCGATTTAAACAAAAATAGGACCTAATGTAGAAAACTTTCTTACCCAAAATGCTGTAGTTGACATCAATTTCCTTCTGGATCAGACCCACAAATTTGTTGTCCTTGTTTTGAGTCCGAGGAGACATGCAGGGAATCTCTTCTGGGTGAAATGAAAAAATAAAAATAAAAAACACATTTCCCAAGATTTAAAAAAGTTCAATCTGGTCCTCATGACATTCAAAAAAACAAAAAGCAAAAAAACGTAGATACATTTCGTCTTTCATTCGAAAGACTTCCTCAGTCTGAGGTGCTGTATTCAGCTCAGTCTCTTAAATAACACCTTCTCAGAGTGGATCAACCAGTTTGCTGCTGACAACCAAAACCAGTTGCACTGATAGACAGTCTCTGATAGAGGACATTTGCAAACTGAGGTGTACCGCAAACCCACCCACACAGACCAGTATTTGCAGTTTGACTCCCATCACCCTTTGGAGCACAAGTTAGGAGTCATCAGGACTCTGTATCACAGAGCAGACAGCGTCCCCACTAGCTCAGGAGCCAGGCAGAAGGAGAAATCCCACACAAGACAGGCTCTAGAGCAATGTGGATATCCTAACT